CATGTCATAACCTCCAACACGGCATGCAGATGTGGAATATCGTGATTGCTTACCGCGTGCAGCCTGGTTACTCGGCCATTTGTTTGCAATTCGTGTTAAATCCCGTGGTCTTGCTCGAGGATGATCACTTGTTAATTTAGGCAAGGTGGCGGCTGGTACATTGTAATAGCTTTAAAATTCTGATCGAAATCGGCATGACATTGGTCGAGGTTGTTGGTTATGAAAATGGGGGTGTTTGCAGCATGTTGAAGCCTTATTAACAGCGCGTATGAATATAAAGACAAGCATTTATGTCGTGTCTTGGCCAACGATGGGTCTGTTGGATTTGTGGGCAGATTTGCAGACCGGAAATACGCTAGTTATATGGTGTGAAAGTGAAATTATGTGGTGTAAAAGTGGAATTGTGGGTTGATGACAGCGGCAATTTACAAATGCCTTGGTGTTTCAAAGGGAACGTTTATGGATCATGGTCGATACAATTCCATCAGTTTTGATAATACTTGGTTTGATCATCAGCACTGCTTCTGATTTTATCCCATCGAATAACTTTCAACGTTCTAGATGATTGAGACATCTTACTATTGAAAATGCAGCATTAAAATGACTTTCAGACCGCTAAGAGTGGACTTCCCCTCAGTAAAATATGGCGATGCATTTATGCACCACGTCTGACCTAATTTTTGAACGTGTATTATACTTCAGAACCTGCCGTTTGTCACTGATTTTTAGATAAATTGTCCCACGCAGCGAGAAAGAGCTATTTATGTTATCATGCAGTGTAAATTTGTGGGGTCATAAGCGTCAAGTCGTCAATGTCTTTCCATCAAACGTTGGCCAAATTAATAAGCTCCAAATATGGTGATTAATTAGACAGTTATCTGAACTAGATATTGTGATTAAATTAAAAACCATCTGACCGTTTGTTTTGGGAATATGAGTGATTTAATTCAAAGAAATCGATGGCAATTACCGGGATTTGTCAAGTTAATGATATACGTCACGGAAACCAAAGGCATCTTAATATCGATAGCCAATTGTGATACACACACACATACACACGAAGCGTCTAAATGAATAAATATTGAAAAGGTGGTCTGGCCAGGCCAGGAGAAGGATGTTTGTCAGTCAAAATTTGTCACACAAATTGGCGCTGCGTTTCACATTTTGTGATATTCATTGACCTGAGCTATCTCCTACCACGACACATTAATTAATGCCATTCACGATGATCTTGGTGTCAGACGAACTGCGCGCCTACAAATCGCCAGCCAATAATAGTTGACCTGTCAAGCGAATCAACTGAAACTCATTGGGCAATGTAGGTCACTTTAAAAATTGCTTTCAAACGTGGACGAAATTGACGTTTGCAGACTATCCTTCACAAAGTCACTGTAATTCGACCACTCAGCTAACGGAATGGTGAATTAGGTGGTCCAGTGTGGTTAATGTGGTTGACGTTAAGTAAATGCTGAACCGAAGATGAAGCTGCCTTTCCCAAGTGCGACTGAACTGTTTGTCAAGCGGGGCATGCAGTCTCTTTCCGCGTTAACAGCACTCCAACCCGTAGCAGCAAGTTGGGACTGGTCTTGATGACTTTGCTAGGTCCTTGAACTAGGACATGCTGACAGTTGAGTAATGTTGTCGAGCAAAACTCGCGACATGCAGAGGTGTCGCCTGGCAATGGCAAGCAGGCCCACTAGGTGCAACCACGGACCATGGTGTTTCCACGCCAAAAATGTCCTTAAACGCAGCTGACACTGAAAATGTAACCAAAACTGTACTTCTGTGGGCTGCCTTTGATATCATCTTCCGTTTTAGCAGCACTCAATGCAAATGTTACTTAAACCAAGGGGCCTTGAGTCGAGATGGGCGCTTGGTGAAATGGCGGTCATTTTGTTTGACAAGGACACGTGACTGCTTAAATCGGTGTGACCAAAGAAGGGTGGTGGTACATGGAGGTGCTGCATGTAGGCCACAGGCAGGCGCACCAATTGCAACCGCGGAACACTCGTAATTTCAACATTACCGACTTATTTTCTAGTTCAAGTTAGGGTTTGGAAACGACCATTTTAATTCATGCCAAAGCGCTCACAGGTGGTTATTGGGTAGCGGAGTGGTGCTGGGCGGTTTTGCATTGTTTTATCATGCAATACTGAGTTGATGATGCGAATTCGTTCCACAGGCATATGAGTTCATGTGAAAAACATGCTTGCTAATTGTCATCTCATGAATTATGTGGGATAGAGGATGACACGAGAAGATGTCGGCGTTCTAATTTGAAGATGGACGCAGCAAAGAAGCGGATGGCACGAAGATGCTTGTCTAATCTGAGAAGATGTTGTGTTGGGGCATAGTGCGAAGTGTAGGAAAATAGCGTTTGAAAGGGCGCAGACTTTAAGAGACGCCTTTCAACTGCGACGACCTTCAGACGAGTTTCATGTCCTTCGCCGTAGAGTGATCAACCCAGTCGTGCACAACTTGGGGACGGGATAATCGAGTATTGCTCAAGAAAACGACGAAGCCATCTGCCACCGTGTGTGTGTGGGGAGGGGTTGACTAGGAAGTATCCCCTCCCTCCCTCCCACCTACCCACCCACCATCGCAGCTTCTCAATATACGTCGTTGTGCATTGACAAATAGTTGGGAGTGGGGCGAGGTGGCGGGGCAGTGGACACACAACAGACAACAGATGGCCGCCACTGTGACGTTGAGCAGTGCGGCAGAGCAAATATGCCGCTCCGAATTATTTACCGGAGGGCGGGGGGGTGGGGGGGCAGGCGACTCGGTTGTGCTCCGATCAGCAGTGTCACATGTGCTGTGGGTGCTTGAGAGAGGAGACGCCTTTTCCACAGCCCATTGCCCAAGGACAGACCGATTGCTGACGGTCATTGAACCAGACTGAAAGGGTGGTGGACCGAGTGGGCACGTCGCAGCTTGGCATTGAGTAGAGGAAAGATGTGAGTCCCAGAGTGGACGATTGCTTTTGACTTGTAGTGTCTCCGAAGCTGCCCTTTGCCACCCAAGTAGACAGGTGATGGACACCTTCCACAGACGATTCTCAGTGTTGGGAAGTCGGTGAACTTGGAGGATGAAACGGCGGTGTTTAGCACAATGCATGGAGATCATTCTCGCGTGTCATCATCAACAGTGGTCTGAGAACATGACTGGTTGAACTATCGAGAAACCACCAGTCGAAGCGGATCTCATGCATGCGAGTCGACCAACATACCCGTTGACGCTGAAAGCCAAAGAAATGGATTTCTCTCGAAGGTACTTCCACTTCATTTACCGACCTCCAACGAGATTTCTCGCGGCACATGCTGTGTTGTTCCCAAACACGATGGTAAAAAACGAAATCAAACTCACTTCGCTGGTTTTTGTTCCCGACCATCTGAATGCAATGAATCCTTCCATCTCAATGAGGAAAACGCCTAGCAAGAATTCAAAAAGCAAGTGGTTTGGCGTTGCCCTCGCGTCTGCAAGCCGACACACGACTCGCGCGAGGTGGTGTCGCCAATTCACACACACCAACACTTGCTTTCCACGGCGCACACGAACCCCTTGTCACCCGTCGAGAGTAGTGGAGACTTAAAAAGCCATCTCACTACTTTTTGCGACACTTCGGCATTAATATTTAATGAGTAACCCGCGCGCTCTCTCTCTCGCTCTCCCCACCCCGGTTACCACCTGAGCCAGCGAGGGGAGGGACAGGGAGGTACAGCTACCTGGTTCTCACACGCGTCCGCGGATTAGGTGTGAGTTGTGACAACTCTTGCGTGGATGCACGGTACGCGCATCAATTCGTATCTGGTTGCTTTGTGTGGACGCACACTACGAGGCCAGTGGTGTGAATTCCAACTGATCCAATACAGCCTTTCCTCTGTTGACCTTCTTGAACTACTTGCGCTCGTAGTGATTGCACTAAATGACGTTTGACTACTTGATGGTGTACTCCTAAGTGGTGTGAGGGCTACACGGTGGAAGTTGGAATTGTCAGGAACCGCAAAGTTCATCAGTCGGAGATTCAAAGTGGTATCCTTCTAGGATTTGCCATTGTAACACCTGGTCCCATTTCTCCCTCTCCTCCTCCTCCTCCTTCTTCTTCTTCTTCTTCAACTCATGGAACTCCACGACACCTGAATCTTCCACTTTTGATCAAGACAAAACCAGCAATAACAGTGTTCTGTGCTGGGTTTTGCGATTGGTCCGTGTCGAGGTCAACCAAAGGAATGGTTAACTCAAAGAATATAAGCCAACTTCGATAACCAGAACATTCGGGGTATTCCGGACTGTGTTCGACCGATAAGAAACGCAAAACCTTCCTCTGGAAATCATTCGCACTTTGTATAGCAGAAATTTATCAGTGAAATTAAACTACAAGAATGAACTGTTGCTAAACCACACGTTAATCGAGCAGTGGCCTTAGACACAAACAAGAAAAGATAAACAGTAAACATGATTTTCTTATACTGAACGGCCTGCTAATATTCTACGTTAATTAAACTCTGTATTGGAAATAATTAGTGGCTTTTGAAGTCATTGCTGTTAATTGCAAATAAAAGCCAAGACTGTCTTTGGATTGGTAGTGTTATTCACAGTTTGGTTTGAAAACCTCAATTATCCAAACTGGTAAGGGTTAAGTTGTGGGTTGGACTTTTTCAATAGAATTTAAAAACATTGCTACTTACAACATTTAAGTACAATAGATATACAGGTTAATGTAATATCGAGGCAAGTCAGTTCTCAGCATGCCGACGACCTGTAACAGAGGTGATTATAAGCAGACAACCGCAGATATTTTCAAATTTAAAAGCACTTATGTCTAAGGACTCCTTGGGATGTTAAAGAACAATGGCTTCAGTCATCTAAATAGACTTTTGTCTAAGATTTTGACCAGGACCTTCAAAACCAGATGGGAGATGTCATCATTTAAAATCTCGCTTTAGGTTGGTTAGGCACTCGTGCGCCTTAGTTGCAACCGATGCAAGCCTGCACTGAGAACTCAGGTAACCCTGACAAGATGTTTTGTTTTACTGCCTAGGCGTGGACTCGGTGAAACACGTCAGGCGCTTGCACCAAAGGCGTTTGTGGGGTTTAATTGGGGCCTGGGCCGAAGGCCCACCCCATGGCGCGTCGCACACCCTTCAGTCAGGGTGGGTGGCACCGGGAAGAATCACCTCACAGTTTGCTGTCAACAGCTCCGTTCTGCAGCACCAAACCCACTGCCTGAAGAATCTAATATTTGACGTGACAAAATTCGCACTAGAGTGGTTCTCTCGTAAAAAATTCGGTGTTTAAGAACCCCAGTAACTGCGACGCTTTGTCTGACGCTTCATGAGTGAAAAGATGGCTGCTTCCATACCTGCTTGCAGTCCATTGGATAAGCTATTTTTGCGAAGGCCAATGATTTTAGGCATTTTTAGCCCAAGTGAATTTGTTGCATCGCATGAAAAACGGAGTCAATGACAGGTGTTACAAGCAGGGATTTGAGGCCAACTGGGTCCTAGCACTCGAACGCTACATGCCTTCCGGTCTAGAGTTGTTTGGTTTGGAGACTGTCTAATCCAATTAAAATTAAGGATTTCACCAGCTGAGCGGTTTCTAATTAAATCAACTCAAAACTCTACATCACACGTGATCTGCCATGCACGTCCTTCAGGGTTGGTAACCTTGACAACCACTCAAAACTGCCGAGTCAGTTCCGAAGACATCAAACTGCTTCAGCGGGACTGACCAAGCGAATCTGGGTGCCGACTCAGAATGTGGAAGAAGCCACACTTGTCGAATCTGCTTGAATTCCAGTTATGTCAACTCCCGACAATGCGTCCATGGTCATTGTAGAAGGCATCGGCAAATGACCCCCTTTTTGTACCCTAAAACACCCCACAGACATTCCACTGAAACCGACAACCAATACCCTTTGTCCATCCGCAAAGGTGGTTTTCTAAATTACGAGTTTCCATAAGCGTTCGCATATCCCAAAACAGGACAGAATCTTTCTGCAATTTAATTTTACCTCAGTGCTTCTTAATAGCACGAATAAGGGTGCGGTTCCTAGGTTTTTTTTCTTAATCATTGTGCCTGTGCACGATGTGACAGAAGCAGTGAAGTTGAATGCCAACTGCCACAGAGTTGCAAAAGTGAAGAAAAACAATCCCCTCCCCCACGCACGCACGCACGCACACCCACCCACCCACCAATTATTGACACGCGTAACCCCCAGCATGATGGGTGGGTGTAAGTGCTACCGATCCAACGGGGCAGAGTAGATCGTAAAATAGATCTGTCAACAGCCCGATTCTCCATCTCTCGATCTGTGTGAGTGTGCGCGCATGTGACAGTCAAGTAGACTGTTACCCCTCCCTGTTTGTGCTCCCTCCAACGAATACCTATCAAGCCTTCCATCACTGAATTCCCCAAAGTCCCGAGGCACTGGGACAATGGAAGGGGCAGTTTGGACAGGAGCCTTCGAGCCACCAGCAGGCCGATAGAAGTTGAACACACAGAACCCCCCGGGTTGCCATTGACGCTACCAACCACCAATGAGTGTGCTATGAACGCATTCAAAACTCGAATCAGTCGCTTACTCCGCAAATCAAGGTGCTGACAGGACCACATTCTGCACCACAGAGACGTTTAACTGACAAAAAGCTTTTGCTGTTCAGACGAAATCGTCAATTCCCAGTTAAGAGACCCTTCGGCAGATCCAGTTGGCACTAAAATGACGCGAGAACTTGGAAGAAGATGGTGGAAAGGACGTGACAGTTTGTTCGGCAAGAAGATCCGTTCGTTTTGCATAGCCGTGAGTTAGTATAAGCGCACATGTGGTGTGTGTGTGCGTGTCTTTCTCAGCCACAGTAGACGGTTGTTCATCGTGTCGGTGTCCAGAAATTTTTCTACCTTTGGTGTTTATCCGATTTTGCACTTTACAAATACGGGTAAAAATTGTGGATTGTGCAATAACGGCGGAAATGCATTCCAAAATGCCGAGGGAGAGACACAGAGCGCACTGCCGGCTTCTTTGCCGGGGAAGGGCACGTCAACCTCTATTAGTTCATTAATATTAGTCTTGAGAAATCAGCAGAAAACACTATGTCAAGTAACATTTCAGCGACAATTTCTCACGTCTCTGAGGCTACTCCTCTAGACACGAAAACAAGGTGGTGGTGAATCGTGCCGCCTTAAGTCCACCAACCCGGTCGTCTCATTCGCAGCCACACTGACCCCTATCGATCGCGCGAAACCGCATCATTCACCTGACCTTCCGCCAGTTGTACTTTTGCAGATTCGCCCAGGCGGTATTGATCGACAAGCCCATTTAGTTAGACACGTTTGAATGGGCAGTGGCGCGACTACCACAACCAGGTTGAGTGATCTAGCAAAGGGTCGTGTCTCTGCCCTTTCTGGTCCCCACACATCTTCTCGGGTAGCTGAGCAGCATTAAAGGGGCCAATTTAACTCAGCGGCACCACAATTAGGGACCCAGAAGTGATTCCTCCACCACAGTGTCACGTGGCAGAATCGAGGATGTTCAACACGTAACCCCCCTCCCCTACTTGCATGACGCAGTTAGTGCTTCGACGAAAATGGTTAGTAACGAGTATCTCGATTTGGATTTCCCACTTTGAATGGATCCCAGTTGATCGGCAGAGTTCAACATCACTCGAAAATCCGGTTGGTGGAACGAATGGGACTGATTTACAGGTTCCACCGGATGTAAGGAGAAATCGCCGCAACCTGAATAGCTTCATGGCCCCTGATACAAGCCCTCACGACTAACATCCAACCTAAATTCGTCGCTAAAGTTGTAGAAAAAGCAGAAGATCCAAGTGTGCGACCCGATCTTAATGCGTAGGACTACGAAATTTGTGGTAATGGCAGGGCGACGGTAATGGCAATTAGTAGTGGTTGTTAATTTAATTCATCTAAAAGGGCACCGAGGTCCAAAAATTAAAACAAAATCAGACATTTTCGCAGACTGAAATGTCTAGTCGTTTAAAGGTCATGATTAAACAAACGTTTGGGTCTTCATATTCCCTGAACACCTTCTATTTAGCCGTTAATTTAAACTTAGACTTGAGAGTTTGACATTTCGATAAAGTTTTTCTTCCTCAATAAAATCACGGGTAGCACAAGTGTCTTTTGCCTCGCTTAATTGACACAAAGGTGAAGGACTCGTTTTACGATTAAATTGTTTTGACAGCTTCGTAGCAAAATAATATCGGTTGAAAAAGACGATGGTTTAGCAAGCACCTGTAGCCTTAACCGGAAACGTTGAAGGGGCTGCGATGTATTACCACATGCATGACTCGAATTGACGTCGGAAATTGCTACGACAAGATCACAAGATCAATTGAGGGTTAAAAATGACGGCCCCAAAACTTATCTTCTGCACACACTAACCCCAAATAGAACGAATGCAGTGGACTATCATTCTCAAGTTTGCGGCAATGTAGTCACCATGCCCTGTTGTCGATTCGTAACTTTGGGTTTAATGGAAGACACCATTGAATAGGGGATCGGAATAGAGAAGACCACTCAAATAACGGTACCAGATCCCTTGCTGAAAGCTAGAACCGACCTTCCCAGGTTAATACAATAACAAGACCAGAGCTCGAGTAGAGAGCTTTATTCACGTCAGCCACGTGCAGAGAAGAAGTGAAATCGAAAGTGAAAACGAAACTAATTCAAGTCAAGTTTGACCTTGACTTGATAAAAGCGTAACAAAACAAATGTTAATAAATTAATGTAAATAGAATCAGAAACCAGTCTTGGGGAATCGTGGATCCACCAACATTAACCCACTGGTGCAGCAACTCAGGAAGGAAAGCAGAAAAAAATCGTGGGGTGGTCTTATTGACCACGTTTATCAGACGTAATGCTGATCCAATACCTTCTGCGGAATGCGGTGAATTATTGTCACACATACCTCAAACGAATATCCATTAATTAGACTGCTAATATTTCATGCGAGGATAACAGAGGAAGGAACGCAAAACTGGCCCCTTCCGTCATTGCTGCCAGGTTGTCGTGGTATTAAGCAGAGGCGAGGTGAGACGCCTCCTCCTAACCCGCTAGATGGAGTCGTAGTGTGCCGTTGTGCGGGCACGTAGGCGCGTGTGAAGACCACGCAGTAGTAGAAATCCTTGAGAAAAAGTCGACTAGGGTTAGTCAATGCGTGGGGTGTGGGGGCTGTTCTCTCGCAAGATCAAACCGCAGCGTACCTGACTCGTGGGGGACATCTGACGCTCGCTTGGGCCTCAGGCACAGAGGAGGGGGAGGAGTACAGCAGCGATGTGAACCACTGCAAGTCCTCAAAACTCATTTCATTATCGAAATCTACATTCCCATTATCACCACTGGAATGTGGCAGGTAATAGCCAGGATGGGGAACGTGCCCGACTGTTAAAATTCGTATTTTCTTGAGTTTTTAAAAACAACTATGGCAATCCTACAATCTCCTTCAAATTGCCTTATCCCTAAGCAACCGAGTAATTGTTTGGTTAGATACTAATTCGTAATTCATGTTTTTGAGAGTTAGAGGTGGTTTGGCCAGTCACAATTTGCCTCAGAGGAGGTCGCTCGTCAAGCGTCGGTTTATGCCTCGCACGTGTTTAAATTCCACACGCAAGCTGATCCCTTGCGTGTGGCAGGGGCGAACACATCGCGAGAGAAGAGTGTAATTAATCAACTCCCGGCTTTCGTATGAGGATTGCGCCGTGTGCATGTGCATGTGTGTGTGCGTAATACGTGGACCTGGGCGATTTGCACACTCGGGACACCCACCACACCGGGAAGATGCGGGAATCTGCATACTGCAATTACCTTCTGACATCTGAAGACCTATTCTGTGGACGGTTTTGAGGAAGCACTCTCAGCTGAATAACGACATTAGTAAACCATCTTGTTGTGTAGCTCGTCTTCGTCGATTGTACCGCCTTAAGTGGAGATGTAGATGCACAAGATACGTTGCTGTGGAGATTGAACAATCGATTTTGGCCAAGTCATTTTAATCGCACAACGCGTTAAAGATGTGATTTAAGAAATTTGCGCTACTAGAAGCAGGCGATAGCTTTAATGACGCGCTTCAACGCCACGATGCGGGCACTTGACAGCACACCAGATGTGGTTTTATGCGATAATCGCCGATAGCAACTCACCAAGGCACCGGGTCCGGGTGCTTGGCATACCGTACAATTCTTCGACACATAACCTATGGTATTTTAATAACCTGAGTCTGAAATAGTGGAATTCGCCACGGTTCAGTGGACCATTGAACCTCACATTTGCTAACATCCTTCCCGTGTGTCCTGTAAGCGTTAGACAGCTCATGATATTTAAAGAGAAGCGTCTATTCTACCCTTATTTCAAAGTTATACATTGCCCACTTAATACTGCTAAGAGTTTCTGGAAATTAGGTTTGTTTCAATCGTTTTTCGGGAATCCTGTTTCATCACAATACATTTTGAGACACATAAATGCAAATTTTAAGATGGCCATTTAGAAAAGTTCCATCTAGCATTAACTTGTGACGTGAATAAATCACAATGAGCTACTACTGCTGGCACACAGCGTAAAGTGAATTTTGCTTAGGGCTGTTCAGTACCACGACAAGCTCGCAAATAAGTACAAATTGGGGCTTCGTGTCAAGCCTTTACCCAGTGGAATTTGTGGTCTAACACCACAGAGTGGGACGTCAGATAGTCAAGGTACTTCGATCGAGCGAACGTACGCCTGCGGCGAGGATTGTGAGGTCACATTTACAGGGATGATCTAGCGACGCATACGCCTTCACACTGGCTCTCAATGTCATCATCATCATCATCACCACTTTCACACCTTTCCACATAGCAGCGCGCTCATCCAATTGTCCCAAAGGCAGACGCTACGGTATGTGGGCAGGCGTAAGTCCACGTATTCGGGAACCCAATTAGAAAGAACTAAACTGATTACCGTCTGCAGGAAGTACCAATTTCGCACATAATGAGCAAACCAATGGGGTATTAAAGTCACACTACGACCCGCTAATGCACTAACAACACCCAGCCCCATTGCTTATCCGCTCAGCCAATAAACGGGCTTTACGCGCTTTTGGTCATTTAAATCGACTAGCGGACAAGTGACTCGGCCGAATCAGAGTGAGTTTATCGAATACTCTCTTGACCCTTCTGTGCCACATGTCATGGGCGACGGTTGTCTATTCCTCGTATGCGAAGGTCACACATCGTTTTGTTGAATGGAAGTAATGGCGAACCACAGCTTGCAATCCTTCAGGAAACAGCCACTAGACAATGCGGAACAGGCGACGAATCACAAAAAAGTGATAACCTGAAATGGTGGTAATTAAGCAAAGCTCCTCTCTATGGCTCTTCCTCAACAACCGTGAGTAAACACAAGGAACACAAACCACGAAAAGATACCAACCGACAGGAACAGCATGCCCCGCTGCGAGAATCTCCATCAACGAAGCTACTTCACGGCAACACAACGTCGGACACCTCCGCATCACGCTTGAACCACGAATTGATGGCCTACGCCACTTGGCCTGACTACTCGCATTACATAACTACCAACTTGTAGCCCCGAGCCCACAGGAACTATAATACGCTCTCGGGTACCGTAGTTTCCACGACAGCTTCTGTTGAATCATCTAGTTGACACAATGGCAATATGGCTTCCAATGGCCCCTCATTCATGGCCACTGCAAGAGAAACCCACCGAGGAGACTTCCAAACAAATCCCAACCACCGACCGCAAAGGAAAGAGAGAAACCGAGTCCCACGGCATGTTGTTGTACTTCGTAAGTAAATTTTTATTTATGCACAATATTTACGCGGTACTATGGGGGGTTGGCGCCGTTGGAAAAAGAAAGAGAATTACATGAGAGAGATAAACAGAAAGGGTCGAATATTACGTCATTTGGCGCTCAAAAAGGAAACAAAAAGCAGTCGCCATCACCATCATCATCGTCACTATTGTTATGTACAGGCGAGATGAGAGGGTGTATTGCACATCACTGGCGGGGGAGATGAAGATGAAAAAATATGTCGAGATGGATTCCAATCTAAAACGGCTCGAGTGGCGCTGTACACAGAAGTGGCAAGATCGCAGAAATAGTAGACTAAAATATACATAAATGCGCTTATACAAGAAATGCACAGGTTGCAGGGAAGCAGGGCTCAAGTCGTGGACACGGAGGACGTGTTGGCGGGGGTGTTTGAGGCCACGGCCTGGGAGGAGACAGCCGCAGTGGCTGCCGCAGCTGCTGCTCTTTGTTGCGCCGCCACAACGGCCATCTGCTGGGCGTATTGTTGGTGCTGGAGGTATTGCTGCTGAGCCGCCAGAATCTGCTGCTGCTGTTCCTGCGAAGTTGCCGCGCCAGTGTTGAAGGAGAACTGTGTCGTCCGGTTAGGGAAGAAGCTGAAGGCTTGTTGTCGCATGTGCGCGGCTTGATGGGCCTGCAGCATTGCAGCGTACTGCTGGTGCTGTTGCTGGGTGTGGTAAGCCGAGGGATGATGCTGCTGCTGTTGCTGCTGGGCCTGCTGTTGCGCGGTCTGTTGAGGCTGCTGAGTCAGCTGTTGGATGACATGATGCTGATACTGCTGTTGCTGCTGGGCGGCATAGGCGTACTGATGCTGTCGATGGTAGTGGGCAGGGGTCTGGAGGTAGGCAGCTTGTTGTGACTGGAGGTGGGCAGGATGGTGGGCGTAATGATGAGCCACCGTGTTCGAGGCCACCTGGGCCGAACCCGTACCCCCGGTGCTCTGGAACTGGCGACCCAACGCAGCCGCTGCCATCACCGCGGCGATGTTGTTTGTGGCCGCTGCAGCCACGGTGGGAACACTAGTCGACACAATCCCGGTAGTGGACGGCGCCGTAGTTGTCGTCGCTGTTGCCGATGGTCCCACACAGACAAAGGACGCCGCGGGGTTGGTGTTTGCCGTCATAAAAACTGGGTAGTGCATCTGCTGAGCAAATTGCGGGTAGGCTGTGATAGCTGCCGCGGCAGCACTAGTCGCATTCGTCGAAACACTTGCAGCAGTTGAGGCGGTACTCATGTTACTAATTCCATTGTCAGTAGTAGCAGTGGCGGCGGTGGTGGTGGTGGTGGAGTTTGTCGTGCTGGAAGGGACAATAGCGGCAGCCGTCCCATTAACCACCGGGTTTAGTGCGACGATGGGGAAGTTTTGTGCGGCGAAAAGAGTTGTTGTGGCAGCCCCAGGCGCCGCGGAGAGGAAACCGAACCCCGAAACAGGCAGGGGGTTCGCACTAGCAGACACAACCGAGGGTGTGGATGACGTGGCGGAGGCTGATGCTGCCGGCGCCCCAGCAGACCCGGACTTGGACTTCCGCACGCCGTTCGTCCTTGGCCGAGGTCCATATAAATGCGTCTTCTCGTGCAATCGTCGTTTGTCCGACCGGGCAAAACACTTGCCACAGTGTATACACTCGTACGGCTTAATTTTCGTGTGGATTCTCTCATGGATTTTCAACTTGTCGGACCGGGTAAAGCGTTTAGGGCAAAAGGAGCACGCGTAGGGTCGAATGCCTGTGTGCGTGCGGTGGTGGATTTTGAGTTTGTCTGATCTCGTGAAGCGTTGTTTGCATGTAGCGCACTCAAACGGTTTTACATTGAGGTGGGAGATTTCGTGCATCCGCATCTTGTCGGCTCGCAGAAAAGCCTTCTGACAGAAAGAGCACTTGTGGGGCCGGATATCAGAGTGCGTTAATTTGTGATTTTTCAGCGACTTAATACCGGAGTAGCGCTTCAAGCATTGGTCGCACTGATAGGGTTTTTCCACCGCTGCTGCAGATTCAACTGATTTCTGGTCAGCGAGAGAGGGATCAAGTTTGAGGAGGAGATCTTCAGGGATTTGAGGGAGCACAGGGGCCCCGGTTGCCTTGGTAACCTCAACCCCATTGGTTGACGCAGAAGTTGGAACGGAGGACGTTGCAACGGAGGGAGGGAAGGTGGGCTGCTGGGTTTTTTGGTTGGAGGGGGAGGAAACGGCTGTTACAGCTACGGCGGGGAATGTGGGGAAGGCAACACGCTGCTGCTGCTGTTGTTGTTGAGCTTGCTGCTGTCGCGCTGCTGCAAGATACTGATGGTGTTGCTGCAACTGCTGGAGATGAAGCTGATGCTGGTAGTGCAACTGGTGGTGGGGCTGGACCATTGTGGGCTGTGAGGATCGCATGATAGTCGAAGGTGTAAAAGACGTGGTCGATGTCGTTGTTGTGAGTTGAGAAGCAGTAGTGGTTGCTGCTGAGGTTGTTGCGATATTTGTCGCTGCAGTCGGGGTGGCCGCCACCAAAGCAGCTGTCGACGCCGGCTGGGCATTTGTGGCAAAGCTCCCCCACGATGCAAAGGGGTGGTTATGCACCATGACTGGAACAATAAAGCAAAAGCGGCCATGAGAAAGACGAAAAACGCGAGAAGACCAGTGTTAGAGTGCTTGTTAGGGGGTTAAGTCTCAATTGAAACGACACATTTCCTAAGTCGCAAGCAACATTTATGCAAAAGTGACCACAAATAACAATAATTTTACCCACACACGTCCAAAACTTTCTTCCACTTGAACGTTGGACCTCTGTGTGGATATCAGGTCAGTCATGAAACTGGATAGTCACGGGCTGCGTGTTCCTTTCAAAAAATTTCTACGTTGGCGATCTCGGACTTATGTGTGTGCGTGTGACAGAGTTGTGTTGGATTTCGCAGTACAATAGGGTTAGATTGTAGTTAGGTGTTAGGATGCCTTCTAACCTGATGCCCACAGTCGATTAATGACTTGCTCCAAAGGACCTTCATAAGGAAAGATTGATTCAAAAAGCATTTGATCTTACAATGGAGTACATAAATTAGCCACAGAGAGTTGAACAGTAATTATCTGACCATATGGATAACAGAGTAGTTCGTAGTGTTTAGTTGCATTTGCAGTTAATGTATTTCTTATGGACACAAACCATTAAGTGTCATATCAGAAAAAAATGGATCTCAGTTAGTGCAATTGAATGCCAGCTATGCTAAACGAGACATATCTTCGTTTAAAATTGCTCCAAAATATAGGGTGGGAAAATAATGCCAAAATGGGACTGAAATGGATTTAATCTTGAGGGTTATACACCTCTGACTGTTAAATTGTACAGAGAATTATAAAAAAAACAAAGTGAATAAAATAAAGCCAAATATTATCACTGCTAGTATACAGTTAAATGTGCTGAGATTTCCGACAGCCCTTCAAGTGACAAAACTGAGTGGCAAGTATGCATCCTTCAGATACAGAGACCATTTAACAGGAAAATGCATGCAATTATTTCAAATAAAGGACACCAGGACTGAACGAAAAATAGCGATGCCAATGACATTTACGAGTTATAAGTTAACCTTACAATTGGAACACGAAAATTTGTGCTATTACGACAATGATTTCTTTAGGTTTCTGAAACTAAATGATTAGAACTAGCAAAATATAATATCACAAAATCAAATTAACACAACATACGATCTTACAAAGAGCGAGGAGTAATAATCAATTTGAAAAGAAGAAAAGCAATACAAGGTCAAATAAATTTTTGCTAGAACACAAGTCTTGAAAAGTATGAATAAGACTGAAATGTCCAGTTAACTAGAAAAAAAGGAATAAATAATTTTGCTGCGCGAAAAATAATTTGATAACACTTAATATTTCAGAAATCACAACAAAGCATGAATAATGCGACAATATAAAATAAAATACTAGAGAGGAAAGTAATCTCTATAGTGGAATGAAGTTTTATAAACTATCTAAACGTACTTGGGAAGCTTCCATTATCAACGAAGGATGGGTTGCCGGCGAAAGAGAGAAAAACATTCTCCATCACCGAAATAATAAAAAAAATATTAGGTCAAATTCAGCGCATGGACATTTAAATAGTGCTTTAAACAATTCAAACGTAAAAAGGTTTTTTGTGCTTAGTCCATTCTTTTTTGCATCTAAAGTGCCAGAAAGAACAATAATTGTTGGAAAAAAACCAAATTTAAGACTAATGGCACCCAAACTTGATCATCAGAAATCAGTTGCAGAATATTATATTTCCCTTGGGCCACACAAGTTTTCGTCGACAATCGCATATATGCAGTTTTGAGCTAAGATTTCAAAAATATGTTCATGGTCTTGTTCTAAGCGTTAAAATGCCCAAGTGCTGAGGACTGTGTGCAGAAATGTATGATTATCTTATAGTATGGAGCAACAGCGTTAGATAGCCACTATTAACTGTTGATATCCCTAGAAATAATTGTTCAGCGATGAAATTTTAAGTTGAAGTGATAGGAAGTTTGAGTTAATGTCCAGTATAAATTAAAAGTTGATGAATATTTTTAGCCGAATTATGTTCATTTTAGTGTAGACATACGTGTACCTTGTTAAATCAGAAGTTGTTCTAGTAAATAGCTAGAAATATGAAATTTAGAATTCTAGATAAACTAATAAGTTCACTATACCTAGAATTCCAATGGTTTTAGTTTTTTAGACGTTGGTTTTTTTATCACCTGTTAATTGAATTTGCTTAAGGCTGAATTCATTTGAAAAAAAAATTCACAACTTTATTTTTACCGTGAAAGAATCAATAACCTCTAGCAATATAGCTAAGTGAATCCATTGGTGGCCCAGAATGGATGAACCTAAATATGGTAAATAAATATTTATCCGGGATCCACCTCCACCTATGACAAATACGCAGCCACTTAATCTTTTGCCTTTTGCACAAATACATCTTGAAAATGCACTTTTGAAAACAAAATATTAAGATGGAACGAGGCAGTCGGAAGGACGGGAAAGAATCCGAATCTTTGTAGATATTTTGACAGGCAAGTAAAAGTTGAAGGACAGGGGCTGCTGGGCAATCATAAAATTACCCATTTGGCGTAGTCAATAACTGAATCCACCAGTTTTGAGACTCGAATCCAAAAACAATGAGCATGAGGAACCCGTGCATTTGAACTTTAGATATCTGATTTAACCAACTAAAAAAAAATCACCTGCTTAATTACAAAATTGGCATCTGACAACCATTAAAGCACACTTATTGCGCAAAACAAGTTATTTCCCAAGGGAACACCATGCTCCATGACCTAAGACGTCTACATCGTTGACACTTAAGCATTTAAAGAACACACAAGGACCATACTGCATACACCTGACTATAGAGCAGCACGATGAAACCTGCTGAAAAAAAGAAGGCCGCAAACACTGTTTTATTTTAAAGTTATAAAGCGCGGGATGGGCGACAACCACATGAAAGGAAAAACGAAGGGCAAAGTCATTAGTCGACTAAAGTGGGAACGGGACGTGTAATTACGCGACCTCGTACCGGTCCGGGTGGAAATTAGCCTCATATGAGAACTTGATAGGTGATTCGTCGGCATCCGTGGTCTCAGTTACCTACAAAATGTGATGAGCTTTAAGTTCAGAATAAAAGAGAATATGAACAGGGTGAAACGAATCACCTTTCAGATTTGGGGGTTAAAGTATGTTACAAAAACCCCTTTTTTCACCGAACTCGTAAGAAAAGAGTCTATGAAGTCACAACTGGGCAACAGTGGACGTGTAAAATAATGTTTCGTGAACAAGACATTAACTAAAGAGTAGCAACCACAATATGGAACAAGTTTCAGGTTACAAGTAATCTCAAGGATACTCATTTTGTCCATATTTTTCATTGCCATATCTGGACAGAAAGCAATTAGGTGCCCACCTTGACGCCACAATAGGAGGCAGTTGAGGTGAAATTCAGCTGGACGGGGAAAAAGAGATCGGCCTTGGCACCACGGTCGGTTTTGATGGTGAAGTCCAGACTGCCCGTGGCGTTGTCCGTGTCGACAAGGGGACGAGTCCACACGAGTTGACCTCGACGCGAGTCCACCTCGTAGTCGCCGTCACAAGCGCCCACAATTGGTGGCTTAGTGGTGGTGCTGTAAGAAGAAAAAAGATTGAACTCGTCAGTTATGCCCACGATAACTGAGTCTACGTTCGAGGTCCACTTCACACGATTCATAACAATACCGCCAGACTTCAAAACGCGAGAGAAACCGGCTTTCTAGTAAGAAATGCAAGTGTGGAGATGGCGTAGTGGGGAGATTCTTGGTGAGCACATATGATTGAGGCGAAACGCCTGTCACATAAAGAACCGGAATGGCTGTGCGACCGCCGAGGACAACAATCCACAAGCCCCAGCCGTTGTAAATGAGTTGAGCACACTTACGGGAGAGGGATGGTAATGCAGAAGTCCTGGAGTGACAACGAGGTGTCCTGCAGCTCGTATTCAACGTTCACCTCGAAGCCACCGTTGATCTCGTTTGGCCAGCAATTGATGAGGACCGGCAGGGCTGTCTCCTCGTGAGTCTGCAGGCGCCACCTTAGGACACCAACTTCCTGGTCGATAGGGAAGACCTTCCCGCCGGCCTTAATCTGCAGCCAGTTGCTCGTCTAAAACCCACAAAACGAATTGAGGGAACAGTTATGAACAAGCGCCCTGGCACTAGAACATGACATTCTTTGAGTGGTTGTACCATGGCTACAGGAGAACAAGGTACTCCACAGCAAAATGTTTGCGTTTCAATGAAATAACAGCCAGTGACAGGTGAAGGTTCAGAGGATTCAGGAAGACACGTGAAGGCGCTTAGTTGAAGTGATACAACCAGTGATTCGCACCTGGAAGACTCTCTTATCCAGGTTGGGATGCGTCTGCATAGAGGCGGGGGGGCGCTTGGCATTGCCGGTGGTGGCCTCGCTAACGTCGACACGAATCCTCGCTCTTGAGGCCTCCTCGTCGCCAGCTCGGACCTGCAGTACACCCGCGAGCTCCATCGATTCCAGACCACCGTCTCGACCAGCCAGAACCGTCAACTTCTCCTCCACGCGAATGTGAAGGCTGTGAAGGTTGAAATACAAATGACGATCGGAACCATATCAACCACCCAAAGTGGAGTATTCGAAACAACTGATGTGTGGCAGGTTGCAATGTTGCTTCTCAAACCCCAAGAACCATTCATCAGAATTCTGCATCGAGCAAACACCACGACTGGATTAGACCCACGTGGTACACGTACTTAAGCAAGAGCAATTCCCCCATCTTGGTAAAATAACGAATGCATTATTTTGCATATGGGATTACCAACGTCCACCATTGGATAAACGATTAGATGACATGTTCATGTAAGAGCACAGCGTCAGTTAGGCGGAGTGGGTAAAAAAGCCTTAGGGAACGTCTGCGTGCGGGTGTTGCACATGTCGATATTTTAAAGAGTAACAGTGCTAAAGCGTGTGCAAATACACGCAAATAAAGTAATCTTGTGTAGAAACCAGATCCACGCAGATACTTGTCTAGTGGAAACGAATTAACTAGGACACAAGTCACGGATTAGAATATGCTGAGTACACGAATTTTTGACCTTGACAAATCTTGGATATGACGACTTCAAAAAAAGACGAATTTGCAGCAAAGAAATGAGCGGAAGAGCTACGCAACGTTCTTCTGACTCTTATTTTATTGGCCTAAAGTGAGAATGTTCTAGTATTTCCACACTTCCTGAAACAGTGTCTTCTTCAGCGATCGAAATATGTTGAAAAGATACGTTCAAAAACTCATTAGAAAATAGTAGGTACGTTAATGCACAAAATAAAAATAAATACGAATTCCACAAAGCACTCGACAATTAAGAGAGTCCCTGGGTACACGTGAAATTCAAGTTTTACAGTGGCATACGAAAGTAGGTTGCACCGACATGGATTACCACAACACATCCGAATTTTGACAAATACTGAAGATATTGCATGGAGCAGATTAAGTGGTCATCTAAAACACTTATTCTTGGGGTAAAACAAGTCCCTGTAAAATCCTTTGTGTTCAAGAGTGAAATGAACAGTATAACTTTACAGCATTTCTTCTACATTAAAGTCACATGAATATCGACACTCAGGCTAATTCAGGAGAAAAAGAGGTTATCGTTAATCCCTACCCAGACAACACGAAGAAAGGTTTTAAGCCACAAGCCAATTATTTAAGCATTACGATTGAATAACAGAATGCCAAAAATGAAGGAAGAACCGACATTAGTCAGAACAAAACTGTAACAGAAAAAAAATAAACCTGGTTCTTACGCCTACAGAAGCAATCTGTCATTTTTAATTGAATTGTCACATTTGAGGATGATACACAAGAATGCTTACTTCTGTATGGATGCAACTGGGGGATGAGTGTCGCTCTTTCCGGTTGTCTGACGTGAAATGACTGGGTCTGCCACAGGCCCTTCAGCACGGAGCATGTCGGTCAGCTTTTCCATTTCAACTTTGTTATGACCGCCACGACTGCCGAGCTGCATTCCACGCCGAACTGGCTGGTCCAAAGTGCTCTGCTGACCCCCAAGCAAGGGGGTAGAGTGGTCGTCTAAGGCAAAAAGCGTTGATTATGTGTGCGATGAGGGAACGATTCCCCTAATCTCGTGAATACAAAACCGGAATTAAAAGTGCTGCATTGAAGGCCATTACATTTCAAGACAGGAGCGCGCCGACATACCCACAGCTGGTTCAATGCTTGGTGTAGACCCAAAGGAATCCATTTTGCCACTTGAAAAGCTGTTATATACAGCACTTGGAGGCAAGCCCTGTTTAGCAGCGGCCACGCGAGCTTGGTGCAATTCACGAGCCTTTCTCTTGCTTAATTCACGGGCCTCTTGCATTTGATTCTAAATTAGTTCAGAAGTGATTAAGTTACAAATGTTATTTACCTCTCTCACAGCATTAAACATTTTTTCTTCATGAGAATCCATTTCCGTAAATGTTCGAATTTGGCTGAGGGTTACGCTTTCCCGATACCCAAGAGCAACGATCTCGTCAAAAGCGAAGATTATTTGGAAAGCATTTTCGACGATATCTGAGGCTTCGGAACCACGAGCATATTCGGGAATCTAAATTGCACCATTAGAAAGAAACTTGGAGCAACGCACCACACGGGCAAATAGCCGAAGAGTTTCCAGATCTTCAAGAATATTGCTTGCCTTCGTCGTAATGAGAAGTACATACATGCGCTCTAGGGGCTGGTACACATATCTCACAGAGTCTGTCTCCACAAATGTGTGTTGTTTGCCTTAAAGCAAAGAAAAAACATATATTTTGCTGCAACAGTTTTTAAATTTTGTGATAATCAATACTATGGACATTAAAAAGGGTTTATTTTCATCGCCATGACATAACTCGGACAGACAAGTCTCCAGGACTTCAAGTACCCATTGTAGATTCGAGGAGTAAGCTGAGTTAAAAAACATACATAATTATGTACGCGTAGGTCAAAATAATGGCCCAAGAAATTTAATGTTAATCCTAACGTGGCGTTTTAAGGAAATATGTAGAAAAGACCAAAGAAGATAATCTAAGACGACCATAGCTAGGTTTGAAGAAAATACGATGAGAAAAGCGGTCACTTGCACGAAAGAAACGAATCATCTATATTAAAGGAATAAACTACCTGGATCTGCAAGCTTTGGGAATGTAGAGATCAGACCCTCGACTCGAGACTTAGACATTTCAACAAATTGGCGGGAAACAAGAGCTAATGGAAAACCCCATACACAATCGTTAATAGATTTTACCTTTTCCATCTTTCGTACAAATGGCAGCAGCAAGTAATACCTAGAAAGAAAAGCTATCATTTCTGACCGAGAACGTACCATGATGACGCTGGCGCAGCCTAAGTTTGCCGATTACCACAAATGACCTTGAAGATGTGGACGCAGAATGGATTGCTGATTGGGTCTTGCTAAACTCTTTTTTAAATCCAAAAATCATTAAGGAATCTTATCTAATTCAGTATTTGCATCTAAGATTTTTTTCTATAAAATTCAACACATGATATGTACAGGTTAATGCACAAAAAACAACCATCCCCGTTACTTCAATTTTTAACATGATTAGCGGATATGCTAAACTTCCACGGGAATGTATCATGCCTATTTCCCTACGACAACAATGATTTCCTAATAATACTTAATAAGTTTACTTGGTATAACTGACTGCAGATTGGTCACAGACGGTTTTATCACTAAACCATTTTCATTCTGTTGGCTTCGATTTGGCTCGTAGCCAACAAATACTGTAGAAACTACGGCTCAAGTGCATACTCTAACAAGCACATCTTTTAAAAAATATAGCACGAGAGTGATTGTAACCATTGTTCGCAATTTGATGTCATTGTTTGCTTAAATTGTTGATTTAAGACGAAAGAAGTTACTTGGACAGGTGGACATATGTGTTTCGGAACCAAACATTTTGTCAACCTAATTTCTGTAATTATTCAATGCAATGCAGTGCTCTAAACATTTTTTTACTTTTAGCATTAAATTAGAGCCAGCTTTTTGCCAAGGTTCCTATCCCCTAAACTGTGGCAGATGGCCCTCGAATGAATATTTCGTATTCATTTGCATAATTATCAACGTTTAAGAAAGTCTTAGTCGAGCATAGCATGCATTAGTCAGAAAAGAAAAAAACACTAAAAAGGCAAAATTGTCAGTGAACTAAAAAATATCCATTTATTAACAATGACTAAATGGACCTACCGTCAGGAATTTGGTGTGTAACGAGGTCAAAATTCAAAATCTTACGATGCTACTTTTAAGTTGCATATAAAGGATAATTTCTTTAGGAAACACCTCGTTCGTTATATGAACCATTTTATCCTTTAAACGAATATAGTGGGACTGTCTGATATCATGCAACTTCTTTTTGGGTGAATTCTGTAATTTTAAATGTTTGGGCAGTGAATGCATTCCAACTTGAAATCTACAAATACCGTCCCTGTGAAAACCATTGGGATCCCTCAATTGACACGTGAGCACATTAACTTAGTCTACTAATGCAGGTTATAAAAACTTTCGTAACAACGCTCCAAGGGTGAAAAACATATATTTTCGAGTTTTATTGATTCTAATCTTGACACATTTGTACCTAACAAAGGTATGTTAAGATTTGTATTTTGGATGCCACTCAGCTAACCAAGTAAAATCCATTCTGTAAATATTAATTAAAAGTTTTTTTTTTGAAGTTCGAAATATTCATTTATTTTTCTTAGGATCTTGATAACTTTCTACTTAATATCAGGGCTAAATTCTGCTCTGCTGCGCTGAGGACAGCATAAATTCGATATTTAATAACCATATTTGGTTTTGAATCATTACGTCTGTTTCGAAAAAAAAATCAATGTGGAAGTTCTCCATCTATACAAGTACTTTAATCATCGTGAAACAGATTTTTTAATGATACCAATAACAATTCATAAATTTTTTTTTTGAATAAGGATTAGATTTTATCGTGCATATAAAAGCTTTTGTGTAAGTTGAGTAGTATGTTTAAACGTTCCAAATAGATCTCAGGATAAGTATAGAGCTAACAAGATATTGAAATATATTAGGAATATTGCATATAATTTTTAACAATAATAAATTGCGTCAGTATTTTTGTAAAGTTTAAGAGTATACGGATGCTAAACCTAATTTAACTACACATTTGTTTTAACCCGGCAAAACTTATAATGTTCCATCTACTATGTTGGCGGATTAGTTAATATTTCTAGTATGTACATCCATTTCCCCTTTTCTATGTGTGGTTTGCATTGTCATCATTCTAATAGTTATTTAATCACTTTTCCGTTGCAGAAAATGCAGTTTAACAGCCCAGACAATCAGCGCACAGAGTCACAGGTATACACACCACCCGTTTATATGCGACAGCAAGGTCCTGTTCGATATGGCGTTGACTCTCATATCCTATCTTCACAACAATCATCACCCCAACAGTCTCATCAGGTGTATACACCTTCGTATCCACAATTACATTATCCTGTTGCCAACGCCTATGGGCATGGAGGTGCGCGTCAAAGCTACGGTGGTGGAGGTTTCTTTGCTTTTGGAGGTCCAGGACCCGATTATCGACCTTCTATGCGGTCACCACGGGGTTTCGGGGGTCGAGGTCGATTTAGTAAGTGTGCATTAAATCTGCTGGCTGTATTTCTGTGTTCCGCCTTACTTGTGTTTCAGTTTGAATATGACGTGTTTATGCAATATATTCGATGTAACAATAGTTTTTATTCCAAGTTTTTTTCTTCAAATTTCTATGTTATAGCGTAATCATTATGGCTTGGATGTTACCTTCTCGGTGCTTTTTTTGTCGTACCTGTTTTCCTGAGTTATCGTGCTGAAAGACCTATCGTTGATTTTTTGGTTTGAAGTTTATAAATGTGCTTTGCATTAACTAATTGTTTTTAGCTCGTCCGGCCTCTCAAAACAAGGGCAGTCATTCTGACTCTGTTGATGCCATCCACCACTACTGTGATGTTTGCAAAGTCAGTTGCATAGGAAAACAATCTTATGATGCACATTTGGCCGGACAAAAACACAAGAAGAAGGCTCTGCAGCAGTCAGTAGGTTTCACTTGATTTAATATGGAAGTTTTGTAAATTTGAGACAGAAGCTACATTTCTTGTACTCAGCTCAGTTGGTAGTACTAGCGTAGTTGGAAATATTTCTGCCTGTTTGTGCATTCAAAAACGATAACTTCGGTTCGTACTTTCCGCTTATGTTATCACCATTCGTATTATCATCCCCATTAAACGACAGTTCTTCAATTCTCATCCACTCTTCTGCAAAGGCTTCAAATTCTTTCGCACCTTCACACTTGTCGACACGCTTTATTTGATCAAATTATTGCTTTCTTTGGTGTTGTGAGTGAAGTCAACCACTATTCTTTTCGACTTCTACCTTCGTACCTGTAATTCAATTCTGTGAAAATAATTTTGCCCATACACGGACTGAGATATCACCCTGAAGCTCTTCAAACACACCACACATCCACCCCTTGGATCCTGTTGAACTTCTGTCCCTTCTGAAAACAGAACAGAACCGAGGTTATTGTTATTTACCTGCACAAAATTGGCCCTCTTATTAGGCATTTGTTTGTTATCTTGTACAAGAACAGAACCGAGGTTATGCAACGTTTTTCAGTGCACAAACAGATGTGTTTTGTCTCCTCTCTATTAGAATGACCTACTGGATTGCCCATCAACTCTCTACTACTGCGAAATTTGTAAAGTCAGCTGTTTTGGCCGTGAACCCTATGACGCTCATTTGTGCGGCCAGAAGCACAAGCGCAACGCCACTGCTCTTATGAGTGGTAAGGTCATAAGCGCCGACGAGATGGCCGCAGAATACTTCTGTGAGGTCTGTAGTATTGCTTGCAGAGGAAAGTGCTCCTTTGATGCACATTTAGTCGGCTCCAAACACCTGAAAAAACTCCGAGCTACAGCATCTAACCCTTCTGAATACAGATGTGAGCTGTGCCAGGTAGACTGCAGGACTCAAGCATTCTATCACCTCCACTTAAATGGGCCAAGACACAAGGATAATATTGCTAGACAAGAACGTGGGGAAACTCCTCTGATTTCCTATGTATGCGAAGTTTGTGATGTCGACTGTACTAGCCAGATACCGTATGAAATGCATTTAACAGGACAGAAGCATAAGACTAACCTTGCGAAACTCGAAAAGGGTGAAGCATCGCTGCAGGCATTTGTGTGTGACATCTGCAACATGGACTGTCGCAGTGAAGCATCCTATGCATCTCATCTTGACGGGCAGAAACACCGGAAAAATCAAGCCAAACTACTGAACAACGGCCTGTCCTCGTACTTGTCCGAAGTCTGTGATATTGGCTGTGGTAATCAGGGTTTGTATGACAATCTCTTGATTGATCAGACGTTTGTGGGCGGTGCGTCGGGATCTGAAAGGGGCGACACTGGAGTGTATTTGTATGACGAATGGGAACCTGGCTACTGCTCACAGGAGTCGTATGAATCACAAATGTGTAGCCACACGCACAGGACAGACGAACCGAGGCTGGTGTATCCCGAGTCCTTTGTCCCATTCACTGCAAACTATGACTGCACTGCACACATGGGTGGCCAGAAGCATTTAGAAAGTGTGAACTGGAAGGTAGGCCATTTAGCTTGTCTGCTGCTGCTGCTGCTAAAATTGATTTTTTAAAGGGTACTTTTCCCCTTCTGAATTCCTCTATGAGCACCCCCTGTTTCTGCTGATTTTCAGTTCACCTCGAGCGCCTTGTGGACCTGCTGTTTCTTTTTTGACTTCTTCCATTTTCAGGCGCAAGGTGAGAGCGGTGAAAATGCCTTGTCGTCGGTCAAGACTAACGAGCTAAGCTGTCCGTTGTGCAACATCAAGTGCACCGGTGTTGACACCTACAAAACCCACCTGACTGGCAGGCAGCACCAACGGGCCGTGAAGTTGCAGACTGAGCTCGGCAAGGCCATTCCTGACTGTGATGCAGTCGCTATTAACGCGGAGAAGGCTGCGGCTGCGGCTGCATCGTCGCAGAGTGCTCACGCGAAGAGTACGTCATCTTAATCGTTTTTTTTTTACAAAAATTGCCCCTTTCAAACAGTGACATTGGTTCCCTTAAATGGGGTCTTGTTTTTGCTCTCCCTTAGAGAAACGCTCCTCTAACTCCGCTCGCATCGATTCCACAGATGTTGACGCCTCGATATCGGATGACTGCATTGAGGAAGTTAGTTGTAGTTTGACCTAACTCCTTCACCTCACCAGTTACGTTTCTAACTTGTTTTTTTTTTAAGGTAAAGAATGGCAAATCCTCGGTCTTCTGCTGCCGTGTGTGTGATTGCAATTTCAGCGACGTCAACGCAAAGAGTCTTCACCTTAAGGGCAAGAAACATCAGTCAGCGTTGCGAAAACTCCGAGGTGCAGGTGATTCAGTGGCGGTAAGTTATGCGCTTGTCTTTTACCCGTTTATGCTGGAAATTAAGGCATCAACTTGGGTGTGGTGACTGGTATTGTTGCTAGCGTACCTCACAAGTTCTTTTTCGATGGGTGGAAGTTACTGGTTGTTTTAGTATTGATTTTCGCAGGTCGGTAGAGGTGTCAAGCCCCTCGTTACCACAGAAGACAGCAGTTAGAATAGTCAATCATGTGATTCTGCAAAATATATGTATCCTAAACTGGGGTTCTACGTAAAAACTAAAGTGTGGTACTTAGCTGGTGGTCATTTAAATACGCGTCTTCGCTGGCCTTCAGACAACAAGCACCAGCGGCCGTCCGCAAGTTCGCCAGTTGTCTCCTGCGGCCGCCGTCGCACGAGCCGCGATGCCGCCACCGTTGCCACAACAGTCATTCTTTGGAAATCCTCGCATCCCCGGACAAACCTCATCCCGCTTCTTCCGTCCCCTTGCCGTTTTCGTGCCGCCCGGCCAGCAGGCGCAGCAGATCGGTCTGCCTTCGCACATGCTCGCCGACGAGCGCTACATGCAGACCAAACTGAGGGAGATTTTGCCCTCGGAGCAGGAGAATTCGGTGAGTCGGCAACTCGTGGGCCTCGTGGTTTTGGGCTGGTTTTGGCTCTAAATAGCAGGCAAATGCAACAAACGACCGCTTTTCACGACCTTCAGTCCTGGTTGTCTCTTCCCACATACATTCCCTCGCTCAAGCCTTTCTCAACCAGCACAGATTACGCGCGTTTTCAGCCTGCGTACTTAACAGTTTGTTTTTTTTTTTTGATTTGATGGAAGAGCAGTAATTGTGTCTATTCTAGTTGTCTAGGAAACTAATGAAAGTAAAATAATGAAAGGCATTTCGTAAAGTGGACTCGCGTGAATGAGCAGGGTTAGAGCAAGTCTGATCTGACTGTCTGGGTGATTGTAAAACCCCTTGTTCAAATGTCTCGATTGATTTTTTTTTTGCATTGACCCGCGTTTTCCGTTCGGCACTTCTGAAATCGGTAGCTGTCATCGAATATCGTCCGTCAGTTAATATCAAATGCGCATTTATATATTTCACGTGGTAAATACACCAAGAGTAGTTACATTTGACGTGTTTTAAATGCACACATCAGGTTATTGCAAATGTTTCAGGTAGTGTTGTAATTTTGCATATCAATTTGTCTAATTTGAACGAATTTCAAATGAAGTTATGTCCACGAGTGAATGAATTCATAGCTTGATTTTAAATAAACACCTTGTACTTTCGCAAAAACCCGATATTAACAAGCAAATGTTGTCCATTCTTCACGGGAAAACATGGCGTTTGACCCACTAGCCATTAATTATGTCCGTAAACATCGTTTTCTGCGCTTGCATCGTTAGGATGCATTATGCTCCCCTAGTCACTTTTGATGTCATTGGTTTCACATGTAACTTAAAGGCGCGCCTTTTCTTCTTCCCGAAAGCCCTTTGTACGGGCTGATTTTCTTGAATAAATGGAACTTTTCGTCGCATTCATTGGCAGTTTCATGACTCCTAGAAGAGTGATCACATGCGTGTTTTCTGCGTCGGCAAACAAAAAAATGCCCATGCAATTTTTCGTCTACACGTCACCCACCAGCCTTTCGAGGCCTCGCAAATCGCCTTGTAGAGAGGAAACCTCTCCAGCCAATTGCACTTTCTTCTTAATTTTGACAGATTTTGCGAAATAATCTGCCAGAGTCAAGGTGGCTTCCGTATGGTTCTTGAGGAGTTTTCCGAACCCAACACACACATTGACTCTTTTTTTACTGTTTCTGTAAAAAGTTTTATTGGGGCGGTGATTGTTATTTTCGTCAATAAAGCATTCTGCCGTAAAAGTGTTTGAAATTTTTAGGGTTGAAAGGCCCCGAACAGGCAGGAATTGGGGATCACCAGTAGTTCGTACCGAACGTACCAAAGGGTTTTGTTGATAACTTTTCTAGTAGTAGTTGTCCGCCCAATTAGCGTTACACCTTGTATGAAAGAAGGTTGACAGAGGCACCAAGTTCACTTTTATGCCTAAATGTGACAAACCTGGAAATTACAAGTTTTGGCCTCGTAATTGGCTTTAAACGAAGACGTTCGTGAATGGTGTTAGTTGAGTGTTGGTGTTTATGCCAGCTGTGGCCTTGTCTTCACACAGACAGTAGTATTAAACTGATTTTAAGGGGTTTGAAGTTGGACTGCGCGAAGTCAAGTCACTCTAGAATCAACCATTTTCGTCACCATCCAACGACGTTACGGATTGTCAATTGTTTGAATTTGAGGGTACATACAAGCAGCAGGCGTTGTCGGTTAGTGCTGGTCCCACCAACTTCTCTTCCCCATTCTGCACATTCACTTCTAAAAAGTGCCATTATTCGTAGGGAATAATGATTCACGTCTGGACTTGAGATTCAGCTGTTGGGAAATGGCTTGGATTGCTGTTGTGGTGATTTTTGTCCAGAAAGGTGCCTCATACTCCATTTTGCCGCACCATTCGCCTACCTGAGAGGCAAACATAGTTTTGGAGATTTCGGTTGCCCTGCAGATGATAAACTTAAAGCTGTTTAACTAGATCGGTTGGCCACCAGTCGGCGCCACTTTCCGTCAGACGTAGCCACATTTAAACAAACCGGTTAGTTGTACAGTTGGCCTATATTGCGGACATTTCGTCTCTAGATTATGAAGTTGGCTGTCGCCTCAGTTGAGTCTGCTCTTGGACGTATTCTGCGGGCTCAAGCGAGTGACGACGAAAGGAACCAACCACGAAGGGGAACTCGCCTACCAAAGGGGGCAGAAGGATTCGAGGCGGTGATTGGTCAGCGCGATGTCGATGGGGTCAAGGTTCAAGCCCCCACCCATGACAGCGTTCGTCCATTGAGTGGCGTTTTCAGGGTCGGAGCTCTGGCCAGCGGGCTCCTTTTGCGGGGACAGCACACCGCCGAGATGGTGCTTGTGCTGGAGAAGCTTCCACCAGCGCATTACCTGACGGAAGTTGCCGAGGAACTGGAGGAGTTGCTTAAGGTACTGTGGAAACCTTCTCTTAACTACTTGTGACTTTTTACTGACCGTGATCCGGGCATACGACCTGCTTTACCCGTTACGTCTTGAGTTCTTCCATACACCAAAGTCACTACCACATGTGTTAATTCATTCGCATTTCCGCACAAAAGCGGCATTTTTTTGTTCCACGTGACCGCACGGGTGTGAGTCCAGAGTAGCTTTTTATCAACAAGCATCACACGACTAAAAGTTGATCACGTGCCTTGCCCTTGTAGGAGTCCTGCAAAGATCACGTAGTTATAGTGGCAACCATTGATGGGGCCCTCGTGGTCCACGTCACTCCAAGCACGCTGAAAGAGTCCGCTTCAGCCAGCACCGCCGGTGCCGCCCCCATCGCGGTGTCAGTGCGCGTCCGTCTCACTTCGACGCAGATACTGGGCAACAAAGGTGGGTACTCATCAGCCTTGTTTCAGCTGGCTCTTAGTCCGCCCAAGCTATCCCCTTAACGCAGTTCCTGAGTCTGTTATGGCCAAGGTATTTAAACGTGTACCGTCCAAGCCACCACCCTTCCCCGGTGGTTAGTTATAGTTAGCATTTGATTGGACGAAGAGTCCATCCGTTGCAATGTACCTTTTAGCATTTCATAGCCTTGAAATGTCATTTTGTGTCAATACCTTTCTTGCTTCGGTTCATTTTGGCCCCTCAGGACATCTTTTTTCACCCAAAGTCATTTATAAATCACAAATGAAATACCTGATCAGTGTTCTAGTTCCTCGGTTACAAGCAGTGTCTGAGAGGATGAATTAATCCTCGTTTGGCTCATACGAAACACCCTTCCTTCCAACAAACCCTAATAGCATCATGAAGGTAATATGAAACGAATGCCTTTTCGCACACACCGGCTTCCGTGAGGTTCCGAGTCCATAGGAGACAGCGGCTGGGTGAAGAGGTAGACTGTTAATCCCAACCCTTCCCTTTCTTGTTGTTATTTAGCAAAAGCTGAACTCAAACGAGCCGACGGCGGTGACGCTGACAGCGATCATGCCGATGCCCACCTCGATGATCTTGATGATGATGATGGTGGTGATGATGATGATCGAGTCAGAAAAGCGCTTCTCTGCAGCGGTCTCTCAAAAGAGCTGTGCATAGACGCGCTTACTGACGTGAGACGAGCCCTCTGGCTTCAGGTACCCACTCTTTGTTTGAAAGAAAACCAATCCATTTCTTGCGCATTCTTACTCATGTGTGTATGTGTTGTGGTTTTCTTTCAAAATTGCACTTTGAGTGGCGAGTAGGGGGTTACCTCGATGCCGGTTAATGCGCCGCAACACCTCAACTCAAACTACTGCTCAAAACTTATTGTTCAGCCTGGGTGCTCTGTCATTACACTCTGAAAGTCAAACGCCACTCATTTAATCCTAATCGAAGGCAGGAGTGCCCATTTTAAGCATCACTGGTCATCGGAAGCCTTAGAAATAGTCCAGTTTTGATCCCCGTTAATGCAGCTTGTGTAAGGTTCATCCAATCGTGAAGTACCACTCATTGGTCGACAGTTGTTCCAATCGTCGTCTGTTTTGTTTTATGCATCAGGATGCCCTGGCACAGCACCCAGCCGTGGGCAATGTCGTCAACGTGGCGCGTGTCTTCAGCAGTCTCATTCGTGAATCACAGCCTTGCCAATGGGGCAAAATCCCAGATTACGTAAGTCTGTGTCTAAGCCTTTGCAGATCTGCTACCTCAGGTTGAATGTTTAGAATAACGGATTGCACCTCAATCGATACTTGACGAGGTCTCAGTTAACCTCAAGTGGGGAGATGCTCGCAGGGTCATTTAGTAGGTGTATGACTTAATTTTTGTAGATTTTTTCTCCAAACCAAAAATCATTATCTAAAATAGGAATATTTGCGCGTCATTTATTGGTTTTGAAAGGATTGCAAGTCTCCGTGAGCTACACAATCCCTCATTTGATGGCACTGCATTTTATGCGGATTCCATCAGGGAAAAATGCTTCTAAAGTACAGGGGGAATCAAATTGTAGTGTCCTTGGTGCCGACGCTGTGTCTTATCAAACGTTTTAGAAATGGTGATTTCGATTTTTTTACGAGAACTCCAAGTGGGAGAAGTCGTGGGTGGTTGCCGGGCGACCCAAATTGGAAGAAATGAACAACTTGGAAGTTGGGTCCCCCCGCATGTGTTGACCGAACACAACCTCCTAAGTCAACGTATGAGCGCATGCCTTTCACTGCTTGCCCACCGGCAACAAGAAAGGACTTGTCTTGTGGAAAACTGTGACGAGTGATGAAAGGCATGTGTTTCTGTTACGGGTATCCCAAACGCAAAAAGTGGGTGCATTCCGGACAACCCAGTGCATCGACGCCGAAACAGGACATCCACTTGAAGAAGAAGGTTCTTCTGTGTATCTGGTGGGACGTGAAGGGTGTACTTTATCACGAACTCCTGAAAACTGGTCGGAGGGTGACTGCAGCGAAATTACATCCGACAGCTGAATTAACTGCCTGGAGAACTTGATCAGAAAGGGCCATTTACTGGACACGGAAGCAGACAAGTCATACCGCTGCTGCATGAGATGGGAAGTTCCCACGCACGCGGCTCATTCACCAGACTCGGCCCCGTCAGACTGCAATTTGTTCCGGTCAATGGAGCAGCACGCCTTAGTGGATAAACAGTTTAAAAAAGGTGGACGATGCGCATGAGTTCTTCGTCGCAGTCTTAGAAAACGATGAAGAATTCGTAAAAAGTTAAGTCGTACGCCATTGAATATGTTCGTCGGGCCGAGTGACACGCGTGCACTTACATGGGGGCTTGAGTTGGCGTGGAAGCAATAAACGATGGGAAAAACCAGCCAGGTGGGGGGTTCTGGCCTCTCAAATAGGCGGGTTATATCATGTTACTCTTGACACTGTCGTAGGTCCTGTTGGTTCTTCTGGAGCGCCTCTCCTTCATGGACCTCCCCCCAGTCTTCCAGGGTGGACCGCCGAAGCTGCGTGCAGGACTGCTTCTTCGGCGTTTTCTGGAGTCCCTGTCGGCAGGCATCTTGATGTCGCCGGGTGGCGAGCTGCACACCCTCCGAGACCCCTCGACCATCACGCACACGCTGCCCTTTCCAGAGGCTCGTCTCCTTCCCGTGACACCACTGCTGGCTGACATGAGCCCCGAGGACCGCGAGAAGGCCACCTTTGCGGCTCAAACATGCCTCCGGCTGGTCTCTTTTAGGCAGATCTTTAAGGTTAGCTGGGGCACTGGTGGTTTCCTGCACTGCACCCCTGCCTACCCGAAACTTAGACGGACTGTGTCCGTGGAAGCGTGAACCCCCTAGTTGCGAATCACGACGATTTGATTGCTCTAATTCTCTCAAATAAGACAATGTTCATATTGGTCATACTACGTGATGTTTTGGGACTCCACAGGGAGAACTACTTGGACGGTGGACTGTCGTGGTTTTGCACTGTACTGTAACATGCCGAGACTTAGTTGTAACCCTTACACTTCGTATACTGCTTAAATTCCAAGGCCACGGTTGCCACTGCCCGTTTTCGTTGTTTCTTTTCAAGGTGCTTAACGTGCCCAAATTCATTCCAACGCCACAGAGGTCCTCGTCCAGCGACGTTCCGAAGAACGGGGTTGCCGCGAAGCGAAAGTCGACCGTCGAGAATGCGTCCCTGGATGATGACGACGACGACGAGGATGGCGTGGTCGGTGTGTGTCCAAGTTCAGACGGGCAGCCAATCCCAATGGCCGGCTCGTCTTTGGCCAGTTAGCGGACTACCTGCTTTTCTTTATTTTATCCCCCCTCCCCCATCCCACGTGCATGTTTATTTCCTGCTTAATATAAGTCATAAAAGAACCAATTTTCCTCCAAAATATCGTATCGTGTGAAGTACACGCCACGCATCAGGCTGACCTGGAATCGAATAGCTCATTCACTCGCAGTTCTAAATAGTGTCGGTTTCGTTAACGTAGTCTTTGCACGGATAACCTCTGCAGTCCTCTCTCGAACTAAGATGATTAGAATCACCGAGGAAGCAGGCGCTGCCTTATTTGGTCGATCATAGTAACCTTGTGGTCTATTTTTATTCATCCAAAGAGGTTTTTATTAGAAGGCAATGGGCGTAGTAAGGCGGTTCTCGGCCATGTTCAAGTAAGGTTCAACCTTAATTTAGTGGGCAGTCAGTGAGAACTTCGTGCTCGATGTGGCAACACTGTACCACCATAACCTGGTTAGATGCGGTTTTGTTTACCCATTTAAGTCTTCCTACCACAGGGGGTGCTTGCAGTAAGGCACGGACAGTGCGTTGCTAACACGAAGTACGCGTTGTAGGGCAGGCTGCGGTAATGTGACTAGGCCTTGCGATATGGTGTCAAAACTACCTTTTCCAATTGATTTATCGATTTCAGATATTGGGTTGCAAGGCTTTCTCGATGACCACCTACAAAGTGCGTCAGAATTGGCGGTCTGAACGGAATAATTTAAATATCCACAAGCAGTCGCTTTGTCCATGAGATGATGTGGAAAAACGCGCATCTTAAAGAATTCACACCCCGTTGAGTAAACACAGGCGGTTGGAATTCAACCTTGCAGGGAAAACTAGGGCTATGGAGCAGATGTCGCAGTAGTGGGATGCTAATTACACCATTTATTGATCAGCACGTCAAGAATTTATGCGAACCTCAAACCGGGGACAAAACTTTACGGAGTATTTTGATCGAATATTCATCCAGGTTCGTAAATCGGGAAGCAATCAGATGCCTACTATGCGCTACCGTTTCTACAGCTTATCGCTCAAGCTTTATTGACTTTTTTTCCAATTATAAGAAAAATATCTGGAGTTCGATGAGAAGCGTTTAGCTGATTTAGAAAGTATTTTGGGAACACTCAAACAGGCTAACCACAAAACACCTACCCGTGTGCCCTTTTATTAATGTGTAATACAGCATTAAGTTGCGTCATGTTGCATCTGTTACATTAGTTGCATCCATTTTTAAATACTTTTATTGGCGTAGAACTAATGGTGTGATTTGAGGTTTTTTAAGAATACCCTAATAATCGATTGAGTAGAAGTTATTTAGCCTGCGAAAATGCTTGATCACGTCTAGCTTATCCAGTCACAGCCAAGCCGTCTGTGGTATGGCGCAAAATTCAGTAGTCAAGCCCAACTTTTTAAAGCACATGGTCTTTTTTGAATATGTTAGAGTTAATTTAGTGCAATGTGATATCACTAGGCTTCAAACACACTCCACCAAAACACTTGTTATTGGCTGATCCCAGGAGTCTATGAGGGTACTCGCATGTATGGACGATAAGTTCTGAATCTGTTACGAAATACACTGATGGTTATAGAAAAAACATCAAGCAATACAATACGTTTTAGAAACCATGCCTACAAAATCGGCGCTGATGGCGTTAGGGTTTCCTATTGGTTTGCAAGTACACTTAAGTATTTGGTACGGAGAACGGAGTTGAGGAGAAGACAACAAGAGCTACACACTGGTGGATTCAGCTCTAATCTGCGTTGTTGGGAGGAAACGGTATCGCCTCTAGATGTGTTCAGACTCTAATCTAGTAGTAATTGTTTTCCTATTCCGGTTAACTTGCAACACTCGCTTCCCCCACAGGAAATCAGAGAGCTGCCAGAGGCACAGCTACGCAGTTTATCTACCAACAGCCCTGGTACTCCCACCAAACGCGCAGTATGAAAGCCGTGGGGGATATTTCGACTTGTTTCTGTCAATAAATATATGGATTTTGTACATTAATAGGTCGTGACACTCGCAATCAACAGATATCGTGGAAGTGCGTGTATTTTTTGGTGTGGGGGTGTTATAGGCAAGTAGGAGGGCATTCCCGAACGACGAAGCGTGCATAGCGCTGCCACGTGACGCCTTGTTCCTCTACAAGCACTTGTGACACTATTATGAGTTGCACTTTTGAGGCCTGTCATGGTAGCTACTTGTGGAAATCGCCCCCTGACCCTCCATGAAACGTAGTCTAAGATGCAAGTCAAAGAAGCCCAGCTTTCCATCGTTTAATTTCGTGTGAATGTTTTCTACTGGACCTGATGGTATCTTTGAAGCCTCGCCTCGAAGCTCTGGTGCAGCAGAATCATCGTGTTCATGGATAACGGAACGCGGTACTCTCGAGAACACTGTAGCGGACTGACAGCCGCCCCGCGCGAGTGTGCGTGCTTGAAGGCCCGTGTGTAGCGATGACTCATCCCCTTTTGTTATTGATTTTTGTCAGCATTCGCCTGTTACGCACGCGTGCTCATGCGCACACAAAACCACTTGGCTGGTTCGACTCTAATAAACGGTCGTGTTCTCTGTCGCCTCCTTTTTCCTATCCTCGGGTAGCCACGGGCTGTTAACTAGAGGGTTGTAAGGTAGTGCTAAATCCTCTAGTCACTACAACACGACCTTTTAAATCACGATTGAATGTGTGGATGAAGGCAGAACCTGCTTTTACAACCGGACCAATTTTAGCTGGTGCTGAGGTGCACACAGCCAGAAGCGAGCATTTACGTCGGATTGGTAAATGTTTCAGTAGGGCGTCTGTGCAAATATGTAAATGCGTTGCAGCATGTAGGTCACCTGACAACCCTATGAAAAAAAGGTGATGAGAAGGCGACAGAACCGTTTACTTGTTTAATGGCTACGGGGTCACTGCACGTGTGACATCGTGGGTGGATTTACAGGGTTAAAGCTGCCTGCCAGAGACCAAACAGCCAACTAATCGGGGCGCTGACAGTCCACTATAAAGTTAAACCTCGTTCTTTGACTTAGTGTTTACCTTGTACCCAATAGCAACGTTCATTGCTGGTTCGACGATGTCCAGATAATTAGCGGATGCAAATTCCCACAACCGAAATGATAATGGTATCAAAACCACCAGTTTGTCCGGTAGCAAGTCAAAATGGGCAAATTGTGGCATGGATTTTCACGTGTGCCAGACACTTCGGGCATAAATCCATCCACTTATGCCATAATCATCACCGATTTCAAATTTCCATTCAGTGTAAAGCTAAATTGAAGCTTGTTAGCACCAGCACGCATTACATGTGCCCCGTATGAACAGTGTGTGTGTGTGTGTGTGTGTGTGTGTGTGTGTGTGTGTGTGTGTGTGTGTGTGTGTGTGTGTGTGTGTGTGTGTGT